TGCATGTTTTTCCCCGCGATCCTGTCAGGGTCGATCATACAGCAAAGATGTGTGTGTGCTGCTAGCATTTTTGTCGGGAGAGCAGCACGAGAATTAGAGAATAGCGGACGCTGTCTTTTATCAGGAGTTCGTTCACATTCAGACACATCACTGTGCTGCTGTGTTTGCCTAAATCCTCCAGATTACCAGCAGGGCTAATGGTTAAAATAGACAGGTCAGGAGACCTGCTGCACTGAGTCTGCTGGATACGGGGATTGACGGAGAAGTCCTCATTTATAGTCTTTACATGAACGCACTTATCTTTATAATGATATAAATTGTGGTTATGTGTATATGAAATTACGAATAACAAATGTAGCAGGGCATTAAATCACTGTTCATTTCTTTGCATTTTAACTTTGTAAACTATAAACTCATGCATCTCCTCACGGTTTGTCTCATTTTGTGGGCTAACTGACAACAACAGTTTTTCGCTCACGTTCTCCCCTGCTGGCCACGCCCACTCCTGCCCGATGCTCGCGGAGCTCCACGCCCATTAATCATGCATCTTTTGAAAAAATTCTGAAGTTAACCGAAAGTGGGGGGTGTCATGGCCCTTTAAGCTGAGTATCTTGAAAACTATCTAGTAAATATTATGTAATGTCATCATGGCGGAGATAAAAGAATAGCTGACTTCAACTATGTGCATAATTATAAAAGTAATTTAATGTGTTTACTGATCTTTAAAAGTAAAATCTTGTTGCTTTTTGGACAATTGGTTTACTCAGTTTTTTAAAGTAAAGTAACTAATCGCTTTTAGTATGCTCACAACAACAAAAGAAAAATTCCTAATTGAAAAGCTGCATTCTCAGTGCTCTACTGGTCTAGGAACAGCTTAACCTCAGAGCGGTTTAAGTACAATCAGTCGCAAGTGGACGGAAAGTAGGCCTTGCACTCTTGATAGCCTCTGTCGAGATGATATATGGTGTTTCTGTTCCCTCCGCATTCTCCGGCGCATTGGGAATCAGCAGGTCGACTTCTATATGCAAGAATATTATAGCATATTTGGCAAGCTGACATGAATAACAATGATTTTAAAAGATGGATTTTTTTAAATCGCATGTTATATCTGTTAAGATAAGAGGGACGCAAGCAGGGGAAAAATAACATGACAGCTCAAGAACAAAACTGATTTCAATATTTTGCATGTAGTGATGCTTCTGTTTTAAGGTGTGGTTATAAATATAGTTCACACTTTATTTTATGAACAACTAGTGCTACAACACAATAACTAAGATTATAAGCTCAATAAAACTATTAATTAGCTGCTTTATTAATAGTTAGCTGTATGGTTTGGGTATTGGATTAGGGATGTAGAAAAAGATCATACTTTATGAGTACTAATAAACAGATAATATCTTAATAATAGGCAAGTAATAAGGCAGTAGTTAATAGTGTGAATATTGTTACTTAAACTAAAGTGTTACCTAAATATCTAATATATAGTTGAAGTCAGAATTATTAGCCCCCCTTTGAATATCTTTTTCTTATTTAAATATTTCTTCAAAATATGTTTAACAGAGCAAGAAAATTTGTGCAGCATGTCTGATAATATATATATTTTTTTTTTCTGTGGAAAGTCTTATTTGTTTTATTTTGGCTAGAATAAAAGCAGGTATTAATTTTTTGAACACCATTTTAAAGACAAAATTATTAGTCCCTTTAAGCTATATTTTTTCAATAGTCTACAGAACAAACCATCCTCACAATAACTTGCTTAATTACACTAGCCTGCCTAGTTAACCTAATTAATCTAGTTAAGCCTTTAAATATCACTTTAAGCTGTATAGAAGTGTCTTGAAAAATATCTAGTCAAATATTTTTTACTGTCATCATGGCAAAGATAAAATAAATCAATTATTTATCATTAAATTATTATTAAATTATTAAAAATCATTAAATTTATGTTTAGAAATGTGTTGAAAAAGTCTTCGTTAAACAGAAATTAGGGCAAAAAATAAACGGGGGGCTAACAATTCAGGGAGGCTAATAATTCTGACTTAAATTGTGTATGTAAGCAATATGCCACAAGTAGCAGTGCGATATGGCTGTATATCGGCACTGGTGGGAGGCGTGCATTGCCTTAGTGTCCCACCAGTAAAGATAAACTGCTACTCATGTGATATTGCATTTATTCAACTGTTGGACAGCATAATTGTGTGTATAGAAATAAAATCAAACAAAATTCTAAAAATCCTAAAAATTCTTTTTGTAGGAGGAACTACTTTCACCATTCACATCTGCAGCTGACGTCATAACAGCAAATCCATTACTAATTCACCAATGTCACTTTAGAGCTAGTGTTTGAATGATTCTCTAGTTTATTGTCTATGTGATAACAAAACAGCTTTTTTTTTTTTTTTTACATTAATACCATTAATACCATCAGTCTGCAGGCATTTCCCAGTATTTCTCTGCTGCAATCAGGAGATCACAATAATTAACCCAGAAAAAGCCAAAGCAATGCAAACACTACCAGATTACTGTTGTGTTTGCGAAAAAGAAAAATGCTAAACACATGTGGGCATTTCTTCTTTCTTTCTTATTACTGAACTAGTCTGCAATAATATCTAATATAATACTATCTATATAGATCAATGATGCTGATGCGCTATTTCTAAGAGATGATAAATATATAAAGTAGGAACTATCTGAATAAATAAACTGCATACCACACAGCAAGGCGTCATGGTGGCGTAGTGGGTGGCACAATCGCCTCACAGTAAGAAGAACACTGGTTTGAGCCTTGGTTGGGTCAGTTGGCATTTCTGTCTGGAGTTAGCATGTTCTCTCCATGTTCACGTGGGTTTCCTCCAGGTGCTCTGGTTTCCCTCACAGTCCAAAGACATGTGCTATAGGTAAATTAAATAAGCTAAATTGTCTGTAGTGTGAATGACCTGAATGGGTGTTTCCTAGTGTTACAACCGGCTCAAAATTGTAAAATTAGAGAGACAATACGGACCCGACACTTTGAAAAGAGAAACGATTTAATAACAAAAAGCATAATTAACAAAAGTATTTAAAGCAATCAAAGTCAGTGTAAATGGAAGTCAGTAGTGAAAAGCATGTATATGGTAGTGAACTGAGCTCATGATCTAAAACAAACTAAAATAAATAAAAAAACTAAAATAAATAAAAAACGCTAGGTAGGGAGGTCTGGCTCATTGAGCTTTCTTTATAGGCACCACATAATGGGTCTCACAACTCTCCCTCCCACCAATCGGCAATCATGCAGGCTCTGCAAATCACAAAACACAACAAACCGGTCCCACATGGGGCCTAACATACAGTGTTGGGTTGTGGCTGGAAAGGCATCTGCTGTGTAAAACATATGCTTTATAAGTTGCCAGTTCATTCTGCTATGGCGACCCCCGATTAATAAAGGGACTACGTCGAAAAGAAAATGAATGGACAAATGAATAAATAACACACAACAACTGAAAGAACTCATATGCAGTTTCATTTACATTAAATGATCTAGAGTAATTTGACTAATGAACTTTCACCAACAGTAGTAAACAGAATATGGGAAACATTTTGTAAATGGTCAAATATGTGTCACCTCTTTTATGTAATTTACATTTTTTTATTGACAATTTGTCATTGGTATTATAGACTAAAACATAAATGTACTTTTAATAAAACACATGACCATAATTTAGTAGTCCAGTGAATTTTTTTGAATTAAAGATAAAATAAACTTTACTAAACTATTTTCATAACCTTCCTTTCTCATGTTTGCTGAGGGTTCCAATAACTAAAAGGGCACCTATGATAAAAATCATCTTTGTAAGCTGTTTGGACAGAAATGTGTGTATAGTGTGTCCACAGTCATACTGGGGTGATATAAAGACAATTAGTCTCTTTTTTTAAAATTCTTGATGTTAAAATAGGATCCAAATCCCCCCCCCTTTTTGAGGCCCACCGCAACTTCACGTAGGAGTGCGGTTTCCCCACCCTCCAAATTGATTGACAAACGTATATTAACATGTGTCCATAGTAACGCAGATAATCATATCAATAAGATAGGACGTACGCAAAGCAACCGGGATTTAAAGATCTGTTCAGCTCACTGTGATCATCAATCATCATCAAATGTGATAAAGAATCAGTTTTACAAGTTTAAAATGTTTTAAAACAGTGTATGTTTGTAATGAATTACAGCGATTACTTTATCAGCAGAGCCGCATGTCAGTACAATTATAAACGATTATACAGTACAATTATAGAAGACAATTCAATCCTGGTGTGTGGACATTAAATCAGGTTTATTTAGTAAATTAGCATAACGATATCCATATAGCAGTAGACTTTAACGTGTATCCTGTCGCATTTACTGTGCTAAAACAGTGCAAAGGTAAATGCGTGTGCTTTGTGTGCCTGTGTGTGACTGAACTTTGTAACGACATGGTGTGTGACTCATCGTTGCAGAAAGTCTTTAATCAACTTCACAACAAATGCATCAAATAATGATTGGCAAAGTTCCTACTGTAGTGTTTCCCAAAAAATGTTGCGTCAGATCTGCTTCCTTTATGTCTGTCGCTGTGCTGTTTATCTGACGCAGCTGGAGATTAAGGCACACTCTGACAGGCACGTGGGAATGATGGGCAGGGAGAACTAGCATTAAAGGCAACAAAAACAGCTACATTGTGTTCAGAGCAGATAGTTCTAATATTATGAAAGGTTTAATAAATAATCTGATGGGTCTTTTGAGCTGAAACTTTACAGACACATTCTGGAGACACAAAATACTTTATTAAATCTTATCAAAATAGGGATACATTTTGTGCGCTTTAACAATGACCATAAATAGCTATGGAAAATTAGACGATTTTCATCCATAAACATTAACCAGGCACCAGATAGATCCTGGAGCAAGTTATTGTACTTTATAGTTATATTTTTATGTGATGATTTATGTGTGTTTAATAACCTCTTCGTATAACTTCTTTTTTTTCCAGCCTCTTGAGCGCCATAAAGGCAAAAGCTCTTCTACAGTGGTGACGGCAGACCTCTTCCCTTTTTTTCCCTTTTCAAAATCATGGATGAAACAGCTCCACAGGACACGTCTTCCCTCATGAAGGGGGCCAGAGACATTGCTAAGGTGGCCAAAAAACAAGCCGTCAAGAAAGTCAACAAAGTTGTGGATCGAGCCTCAGACGAATACTCCCAAAATCGAGCCTACCAGCGCTTCCAGGATGAAGACGACGACTACTACAGCCAGCCAGATGGCAACTACACCAGCCACCAGGCTAATGATGAAGAGGGATCCAGCGATGCTACCGAAGGCCACGACGATGAGGATGAGATATACGAAGGGGAGTACCAGGGGATCCCGTCTGATGCAAAAGCCAGAGACGGGCAGGTGGCTCTGGGACAGCCACTGTCGGATGGCCTAAAGGACCGGAGAGAGCTGGAGAACGAGAGACAGGCGGATGAGGAGGAGCTGGCGCAGCAGTACGAGCTCATCATTCAGGAGTGTGGACATGGCAGGTTTCAGTGGCAGCTCTTCTTCACGCTGGGGCTGGCGCTCATGTCAGATGGCGTGGAGGTCTTCGTTGTGGGCTTCGTTCTTCCCAGTGCCGAGACGGATATGTGTGTGCCTGATTCAAGCTCTGGATGGCTGGGTAAGCATTGATTTGTTAATATGGATTTCATGGATTTGATATAGATGCTTTTATCCAATCTACAACCTCAAGTCCAAAAAAAGTTTGTATAATGCAAGAAAATAAGATGCAATTTATGATCACATGGTTCGTTTGTTGAATTTAAGTTACATTGCAATCTACATTGCAACTAATTACAATTAGATTATAAGTAGACTGTTAGTTTGGGGTTAAGGTTGGTGTAAGTTGACATGTACTTGCAAAGTTTCTTATAGTCAGTTAAATGTCTTATGTGGGAGCAGTATCAGCAGAAATTATTCAGACAGTCTACTAGTACTCAAGTGGACCATCAAAATAAAGTGTTACCCAATTTATTAATTCTCTTTAACCTGTTTTAAAAAGCATGCAGCAAATATTGCCTATGTTTTTAGTGACCAAATAAACAGTATTTTGAAAATATAAACAATTTTTAATTGGTCCCACTTTATATTAAGTGGCCTTAACTAATATGTACTCACACAGGAATTAGTAGTTTGTTACAATATACTTATTGTGTAAATACTTGTATTTACTGTGAACGTGCTTGATTAAATACATGTATGTAATTACATCTGTAATTAACTTTTGTAATTACATTTGTAAATACACTGTTGACCATCCCTTACACCTTAACCCACCCTTAAACCTACCCATGCCACCAAACCTGTCCATAACCCAACCTCTATCCCAACTCAAAAGCACCACAAGTGTTCTCAAATACATCAATAACACAGTAAGTACATTGTATTTATTTTTTGATGTAAGTACATAGTAGTTAAGGACACTTAATATAAAGTGGGACTTTTTAATTTTAATGGCTGCAAAACTGCAAAAAAGCTGCAACAGACATTTGCACCCCAGGCTCATTCTGAAAACGCAGTACCATGGACGTTTCTGGAGACCGTGAAATGCGTCCCGGAAGGTACATCTTTTTGCAGTTTTTGTTTTCACAAATCCACGAGAGGCTGCTGTGTACACTTTTTCACATCTCAAATGTCACATCTCACAAGTGTCTTTCGCGCCCGCACTGTTCTCACATGAACCCACCAGAGGCCGCTGTCAACCGACTGAATGACTGAATGATTGACTGGGCGACCGGAAAATCGATCGACCCAGCCTCCTCCTTTTCTAAACCCAACCAATTTTACAGATTGACCCGCCTGCCTGCTTACTTCCCTAAAGCCAACCGACGGTTTACAAAAGCCATCCAGATAAAGAAAAGCCCTCGTCTGACTTTTACCACGTTTCCGGATTTTACCACATTCTCACCCTGTTATTTACTCGTTCATTTTATTTTTTAGATTCTGTTTTTGTCTTACCTGATTTCTGGAACTGCTCTTCCCTGGACTTGAACCTGTTCATCGTGGTCACTTCCTCTCTGCATCTCAAGCCCGCCGACGTACAGACAGGCTAACTGGACAAACAGGTTGCGGCGGGAAAGCCCTCCACATGGAGGAAAGCCGTAGGCCAGTAATCACCAAAACAACGTCGTCATACCACCCCGTAGCGTTCTCAAAAAAAAAATGAAATGCAGCCATACGTACATCTGGCTACATAATTTGCGATCTCCAGAAACGTCCATGGGACTACGTTTTCAGAATGAGCCTTTGTTGGATACATGCTTAACAGTCCTGATACACTTCAAATGAAAATCTTGTTCATTCTTCGTTTAAGGGCAAAAAGTTTAGTTCTTTTAGAAGTTTAGTTCAGAAAAATGTGAGTGACACAATTTTTTACACAATGAGGGGACTACAATCCCCTCATTGCAGTAGGTGGGGTTGTAAATGTTTCATTCAGGCTGCTTGTATTTACCCTCTAAACATAACAATGAAATAAGAACAGTTTCGTAAAACATCTGGCATGCGATCGTCTCTAGGCTTACCAGACGAGAAGCAATTGTTTTTATTGCACTGTTTTCTATTCGCTACAGACTCCAAAAAGTGCTGCCAATGTGAAAAGAAAACTTTAAAAGAAGCTTTCTGTCCAGAGTCTGACTCCCTCTGAGTCTTGAATTTTTTCCAGAGCAATCATACAGGTGCAGATACATTGATTATAATATAGATTTTTCACAAGTAAGGAATAAAGTACATCTAGGTGGTTATTCTTGCAGAATAAAATCTTATCTGACAGGCTTATTGGTTATAAAAATATTCTAAATATGCATTATCCTGCCTATTACTCAGATAGTTTTCATAAAACTAAACAATTAGACACATCACATTGATTGAGCTGTAATAATTTATCAAAGGAACACTCCACTCCACTTGTCTAATTTGTAGTTGCATTATGTACTACAGTAAGAGCGATGGAAAATGAACAGTTACTATTTTCTAAATAGGACATGCCTAAGAACTACACTTAGCCTACTGTTGTGATGAGTCAGAAGGCATTGAATCCATTTGCAAGCTTTATTAAGAGCACACATACAAACAAACACAAAGGGGCAATCCAGGAAACAGAACGTGGGACAGGCAAAAGTTCAAGGGCAGGCAGATATCTTACTGGACAGAATAACAGGCTGGAGATCAGGGGCAGGCAGATGTCTTTCGTAATCGTAGAACAAGCACAGGGTCAGAAACACAGATCAGTCCGAAGCAGGGAGTATGGAACGCTCAGAAATGACAGCCAGGCAAATCAAGACTTCGCAAAGAACCGGAGCGTGAGTGTGGTATATATACACGAGAGCTGATGAGTTGCACCTGGACCGTAATCAGTGCCAGGTAGCAGGGCTTATGGGATTTTGAGTCCGTGAGTCGAATCAGAATTCTGGCGATGGTTCCCTCTGGTGGTGCACAAGAGGGTTGGCATCGCCCTCATTTACAACAGAACCCCCCTCCTGCGAGCGGCTCCTGAAGCGAGAAGGCACCTGACGCCGGGGTCTACCGCGCTGTCGGGGGGCTGGTTTCTCTGGGAACCTTTGATGAAACTCTTCCGTGAGAGTTGGGTCTAGAATATCTCTAGCATTCACCCAGGACCGTTCCTCTGGACCGTACCCTTCCCAGTCCACCAGATATTGGAGGGCGCCACCCCGACGTCGAGAGTCCAGCACTTCTCGAACGAGGTAAGCTTCCTCGCCCTCGATCATGACAGGTGGAGGGGTCCTGGTTTCCGATTCCTCCTCAACCGCCTCCTCTCGTGGACCACCAGCGGGTTTGAGTAATGACATGTGGAAAGTAGGAGAAATACGATAATGATTAGGCAAGGCTAAGCGAAAAGACACTGGAGTAATCTGGCGTACAATTTTGAATGGCCCTACATACCTGGGACTGAGTTTGCGGCAGGGCAATCTCAGACGAAGGTCTCGTGTCAACAACCACACCCACTGCCCCGGTTGATACGTGGGTCCCTGGCGTCGGTGACGGTTCGCCTGAATCTCTCTCCTCCTGACTGCCCTCATGAGATGTCTGTGAGCCTGGTTCCAGACATCCTCACTCCGCTGCAGCCAATCCGTGACAGCAGGTAACTCAGTGGGTTCTCCGGACCATGGAAACAGGGGTGGTTGGTAGCCAAGAATACATTTGAATGGCGTAATACCCGTGGCTGGCTTTATTAATGAATTTTGTGCATATTCTGCCCACATCAGATAGCGACTCCAGTCGTGCTGTTGCTGATGACAGTAGGAACGTAGAAATCGAATGACTTCTTGATTCATACGTTCAGTTTGGCCGTTGGATTGAGGATGGTACCCTGAGGTGAGACTAACATTAATATTTAGATTTTTACAGAGAGCGGACCATACCCGGGAAGTGAATTGGGATCCCCTGTCTGAGACGATATCATCAGGTAAGCCAAACATTCGAAATACATGATTGCACAGGGCTTCTGCGGTTTCAAAGGCAGAGGGCAATTTGGGCAACGGTATTAGGCGACAAGCCTTGGAGAAACGATCAACCACCGTGAGAATGACTGTGTTGTTCTGGGAAACAGGGAGATCCGTAATGAAGTCCACCGCTATATGGGACCAGGGCCGTTGCGGAACCGGTAGCGGTTGTAACAGGCCAGCAGGGGTTTGGTGAGATGCCTTCGTGCTTTGGCAAATTTTACATTTCTGAACATAATTAATTACATCCTTCGTGAGGGACGGCCACCGGAAACGGGCTTTGACTAACTCCAAAGTTGCAGTGATGCCTGGATGCCCCGAACTGGGAGTGTCATGAATATGGGTCAGTAATCTGGTACGTATGTTATTGGGTACAAAAATCAGGTGATTCGGACAGTCTACTGGAGGGTTGTTTTCTCGGTTGGCCTCTTGGATCTCGGTAAGTATGTCCCACTGTACTGGAGCCACTAGTAAGTTCGTAGGAATAATGGTTTCATCACTAATTGGGGTTTTATCCTCTGATAGCCTGGATAGTGCATCTGCCTTACTATTTTTACTCCCTGGTCTATAGGTGACAATGAAGTCGAATCTGGTGAAGAACAAAGCCCAACGAGCTTGTCTGGGATTTAGACGTTTGGCTGAGCGAAGATATTCCAGATTCTTGTGGTCAGTTAATATGGTGACTTGCTGACTAGCCCCCTCCAGCCAGTGTCTCCATTCTTCCAGGGCTAATTTCATTGCCAGTAATTCGCGATTTCCCACATCATAGTTTCGTTCTGCGCTGGTCAATTTACGGGAGAAGAAGGCACATGGATACATTTTGGATGGTTGACCCTGACGTTGAGATAACACAGCACCGACTCCTGTGTTGGATGCATCCACTTCCACAATGAAAGGTAGGTCTGGGTTGGGATGACGGAGAATAGGAGCTGTGGTGAATTGAGTCTTCAGATCGCTAAATGCTTGGCGTGCTTCAGAGGACCAGGATAGTTTGTGGGAATTTCGTTTGGTCATGGCTGTTAATGGTGCGGCTATTGAACTAAAGCCTCTGATAAACCGTCTATAGAAGTTGGCAAAACCTAGAAATCGCTGCAACTCCTTGAGATTCTGGGGTAACGGCCATCGTTGAACTGCCTGTACCTTCGTATCATCCATGGTAATC